GGGATCAGTGTTTCTAATGAGAGTCTAAAAGAAAATTCAAATGATCTGTATCTCATTTAGTCCAGCTAAGCACTGTAATTTAGGGTATCATTCATGCATTCTTTTAAAAAATTTTATTGAATACTAAACGAGGCAATAAAGCAGAATGAAGCATCTAGAGTCAAGGTATCGGGTGTGTGTTCTGGTTTTCTGTTTACTAGATATGTGATCTCGGTAATTTGTTGCTGGGTTTCTTTTTTGTTTATGTTGAATGACTGACATCAACAGAACATTTAGAGAAGGTTACAGCAAGGAGGAAAGCTGTTAGTGTGGCATATTACAGATGAAGGCTGGAGGATAAATAAGAGACGTGTGGTCTCTACCCCCATGAAGAGTAAAATTAGTGGGGGAATAGTCATTAAATAAATAAATAAAACTTTTAAACTACAATTGTATTAAGTGCTAAGGAAGACCTAGTAGGATAATAAAACACAGATCTAACATCTCTCTAAATGTGTACAATTTCCCTCTACTCTGGGATAACTAAGGAAAGACACTGCACAATGCTACTTCCAAAATCTGATGCTAGAAGGTGGAATTTCATATCAGGAACATTATTTTGAGCAGGCATAGCTGGAAAAATTTATTTCTCTATTTGTCTTCTCTTTTTTTTTATGATCAGTTAAAAGTTTCAAGACAACATTCCTAATTTCATTTTGCTACATTCCTTAAAGCGCAAATCTCTATGACGCTCCAGGGACCTTTGGATAACAAGTACTTCTGGGAAGAAATGAAAAGACCAACTGCCAGTGTTTGTTGAAAATAGGCTGTTTTTCCTCACATCATGTAACAGATGGCCCCGACAGACTGAAGGGTGGGCAGGAGGAAGCCTACATCTCCATCGACCCAGCCACTATTATCTCAATATACCATGCCATGCAGGACTTACATATTCATGTTTTTTCTTCTAAATCCTCTCAGCCATTTAGAATTGAGCTCATTTGAATAAACTATGAAAATATTAGCCAAAAACAGACAAAACTCATTTTATTACACTTTATTGCACTCTGCAGATTTTGCATTTTTTAACACATTGAAATTTTCTATAAACTTAGATCTCTTGGTGCCATTTTCCCAACAGTTTAGATGACCTTTAGCAGGTTCTTAGCAATAAAGCATTTTAATTACGGTATGTTCACTGTTTTAAGGATATAATTATATTATATCTGTGGTAGACTGACAACTGGTGGGCAGCTTAGAACACCCAGCTGAATTGAGCAAGCATGGTGCTGGTGTGGGAGGCCCACCTGAGGACTGTTGCCAGCAGCGTAAGAGGCAGAACTGGAAAAGAAGAGGAAAGGCTGTTGGGAGCTGGTAGAAAGCTCTAAGGAGCTGTTGGTTGTTTTGGAGGAGCTTGTCATGCTGGCTTTCCTGATGAAGTCAGCTGTTTTTCATCCTTCGAGGAGCGTGGGACCTTGTTGGCACTGAAAACAGCTTCATCTCTGGTCCTCACTCCGAGCATTCTTCCTGGCTCCGGAGGGGAAAGATGGTGCACTGCCAGTTTCCTGGAAAAGCTTGCTGCATTGGCTTTCCTGATGGGAACTCGGCTGTCCTGATCATCGAAGGAGCTCGGAACCTCACTGCTGCTGAGGATGGCTGGAATGCCTTTAGGGGAGCGCTAGTTCTCACTTTGAGCGTCACTTCCTGGCTCCAGTGTAGATCTCTCAGCCAGCTAGCACAGATTCTTTATCCTGCTAGCACAGACTCCAGATTCCACCACTGACCTTTAGGCCTTCCTAGTGCAGACCGGTGAAACAGGCCTGCATGAGACATTGCCATGGGCTCTGGGCCTCCAGTTGGATTCGTGGGAGGCATTGTTATGGGCTCTAGGTCTTCAGCTGGACTCATGTAGAATATTATCATAGGATCCAGGCCCTCAGCTGGATTCTTTGGTCTCTAGCTGGACAGATTTCCTGCACTCTCTCATATACGATTCTTTGGGTGACTATTATAAATAATCTTCTAAAATGTGTCCTGTGTTATATTGTTTCACCTTGCAAAAATAACCCACAAACCATGACAATATCCTTAATAGAGTACATACAGTATAAACAAAGCTTCCATACACATATGGAAACTATTATAAACATTATCCGCTTTACTGTGCTATTTGCATGACTGTTACAGCCCAGAACTGAACATGTAGTATCTCAAAAGTACGCCTATACTCTCAAACACAATTAGCATTTTGGCACTGTTATGCCTAATGTTCCCCCCTCATGTGCTCACTGGTGGAGGTTTTGGAAGGTGAATCGATCGTGTGTGTGTGTGTGTGTGTGTGTGTGTACACTGGATTAGTTCAGGTTTATGGCCGGATGTATTATCTCACTTTTAGACAAGGTTTTGGTGTTCTAAAATACAGGGCTGCCAAATCCTTTATTGTTCCTTTCCATCCTGCATTCACATGTATGTATGAATAGGAAACCTGGGACTCACCCTTTAAACTGGAACACACCTAAGCCTGCAGCCGGGCAAGATGCAGCACAGGACTGCTGTGGTTGTACAGTAACGTGTTAAAGTATTCCCAGTGTGGTACTTGAGTACACTAAAAATAGGCAACCCTGAACTATACTGCAGGTGAAGGACAAGATAAAAATAGGAAATAAACTTGAAAAATAATTGTATAGAGTACTAGGATTAACGAGTCAACCCACAGAACTGAATTCACTAAGATTATTTTTATTGAAGACAGGAAATAGGACACTACTTAAACATGTAAGAGAAATGTTGGCTATAGAAGTGTATTTAAACTGCTAATTTCTCTAATTCAGAATAACATTTCTTTAATCTTTTTGGCTGAGATATCCCTTTATATTTCTGAATCTCCTCCCTCTCTCCCTCCCTCCCCTGTCTGGATAGTATCTGCCAGCTCTAATATATACAAATGACTTTACAGATGTAGCTAAATTACCTTAGAGTGTCAATAAATTATTTGGAATGTCATAGCTTTGGTTCAATTCCTAATAAAGAGTAAGAACTAGTAAGAGCCTAAGAAATGGAGATTTTCCATATTATTTAACATAAATTTTGCCACTATACACAGCATTCAGTGGTTTAAAACTCATGTTAAAAAAGCCTGTATTTAGCATGCTTTCTTCAAGATTTCTAATGTGGGAAATCTGTTCTGGATTATTAACTCTTGGCCTTACGTTTTGGTCTTGTTTTTGCCGTTTTATCACAAAGTGTTATGAATTTCTAACTGTTTCTGTTTCCCTTCCTTTCTCTGCAACGCCGCTGCCCAGCTCTCCCTTGTTATTTCTCAGGTATGTCTCTATGCAGACTCACCACTCTAGCGTGTTCATACTGACTGCGGGATAGAAGTCTCTCATCTGCATCTATTGCCAATGCTGAGCACTGGTGGGCATCCTTTTCTTCGTTACACACAAGTCTGCAAATACAATTCTGTAGATGTCACCTATGCATAAGCAACTTCTGGGGTAACACAGCAAAGGTCATTTAATTTTCTAGACACTAAAAATGATGACTGTCCCCATGTACCCTCACCAATAGTAAGTCCCCACTGCTTCACTTTCTTGATGACACAAGCTATTTTGAAATATAGTTTTGCTAACTTTAAGTGATATTGTCATGTATTTTAAACTTGTATTTCCCTGATTATCAATAGAGAATATGTTTTCCATATATTTGTTGGCCTTTTGGATTTCCCATCCCTGTTTTATAAATTAATCCTTTTATATATAGAAAATATCTTGTTACTTGTGGCTTATCTTTTCGCCTTATAGGTATACGTTTTACATTTCAATGGATTTGGATTCATTGTATGTATCTAATTGTCTTTTTGTTTTAAACAATTTTTCACATGCTGTGTTTTGAAAGTATTGGATATATTCATCTAAGCTTTAAAATATTACTTTTAAAAATTAAGTCTTTAATCTAATTCAAATGTGTTTGATTACGGTTTGAAGTGGGAATCCAAATTTCTTTAAGGGGATAATCAATTATATAAGCACATTTTCAAAAATTCTTTCTCTATTAGTTTATAATGACATAAGTATCCATGTATAAGGGTCTTATCCCAAGTATGATTCAAGGAAAACAGCAATATTTTGCACTAAAAATACCCCTGTTGTATACAAGGAACTGTGTGAAGAATTTTATGTTATTCACCCAGAGATTCTGGATAAAGCCAGGGTTCAAAGGTACACTAGGAAGCCCTTATATGGCAGGGCTTGCTGTTACCTGTTCGTCTACTGGCTGCTAGAGATGAATCCTTCAGGTGAGGTATACAAACATTCTGGTTGCCATAAACTATACTTTTTTGAAAAAAAATAAGAGCACTCCAAATATTCAACTTGTTTTTATTAAACAGGAGGAAACAAAAATCACATTTTTTAAAGAGGCAGATATTCCAATAGCTTCAAGGAAAACCAACTTAATGTCAGCTTGTTTGAAAAAATCTTTTAGAATAAATGAGAAATTAAATTCTTGAAGCAGAGAGAGGATACCAGATACCTTACAAGCTCTAGACCTTGGCAGATTAGGTGCTGTGTAGCTTAAACATTTGAATTTTCATGTAAATATAGTAAATTAGAATAATAGCATCTCAGCAACATCATGACTATTTTATCATTTCATTTGAATTAAAGCAGGATTTCTAGTTTTCCAATATGAATATACACCAATTACTTTTCCTCTCTACACATATCAAATGTGAAATAATTGTACAACATATCAATATTTTCACAGGAAGATTTTTTTTTAAGGCTTCTGGCACATAAAATAAGTAATATTAGTGTGTCAATGTCATAATTATATACAGAAAATATTTAAAATTCTCCTGTGCAACTTAAACTCTAAAGATTAAAACATCAAGTGTTCATATTTTTTTTTTTTTTTTTTGGTTTTTCTCCGGTACCGGGAACCGAACTCACGACCTTGCGCCTGCCAGACAGGCGCTTTTGCCGCTGAGCTAAATCCCCAGCCCCTTCAAGTGTTCATATTAATAAAGTATTACAATGTGCTTCCTCTAAATTTGACACTGATTTGTAATTATAACAGGAATGGACAAGATAAGTCTTGTATACTAAATGATCCATCAATGAAAATAACTGAACTTTATATACTAATTTTCTAGATCATTCTTTCCGCACAAAACAGCCTGAAATGTAACATAAACATTTCCAATCAAACTAACACTGAAGCAGCAAATGTCAGGTCTGTTTGCTGGTGTATGTGTCACACAAATATAAGTCTATAAATCTTCATTTATACTTTAAGTCACCGCTGGAGAGAGTGTGTCATCAATAAAGGGTAATTGTTTCTCATTTGAAAAAAATGAAAGTCATTTATAGCTTGTGTTACAGTTCTAAAGCAGCATATTTAATTTTTAAGATGAAAAAAGACCAAAAATTATAAATTATAAATTCTCATAATTCTTCTTATGGCATTAACAGCCATAGCATAAAATCTCAGACTTTAATAGGTAATATATTAGTGTCCATCTGAATATACATTTGCCCGCATTCTCCATGGGTCTGAAGCTGGTCCGGGAGGTGGAAGCAGAAAGCGCAGCGTGTGGGGCCACGTTTAACAGCCCTCCTGGGCGTCGGAGGACAGGCTGAGTCTTGACCTTCCATTCACAGATATTGTATTGGACGGAACAGTAACCTAAGTGGAACAAACACACTTTGTATCCATCAATTTAAACTGGGACACTTGTCTAGTTTTCAACAATTATCACATTTTAACTTCTGCTTCATTGTAAATGCTAACAGTTAGTATTTCTCGTTCAATAAATTACAAATAATTACGAATAAATATTCACCCTACCATGAAATGAAAAATGAGAGAGTTATTTCCACAACAAACAAGCTAAATAATCCATTAACACATCTTAAGTCTTTATAAAATTACCAAATCAACACAAAGGACAACAGCACACACAGACTGCAGGACAAGCTGTTAAAAAGCATTTTTAGCTAGATTAATTCTGGCTCTCCAGAAGTACTTTGGAAAATGTAAAACACTCAAGTGCATTTCATAATGCAATGATTTTTACCATTTTTATAAATACTAATTTGAAGTTCTCTTCTTAGCGATCCCTTATTTACTAAAAAAAAAAAAAAAAAAAAAAGGCTTTTTAAAATGCTTTCATATGTAAGGTTAAAAAAGGTCAAATCTATGACCGTTATGTCCAAACAATTATAGAATGCAAAGGTGCTTTTGTGATTTTATCCAATAAATAAGCTCAAAGTTTTACAGCAAAGTCTTCTGTTTGCAAACTATCAGCAAATGAAAACAATGAAGAATTTTCTAGATAGCATGAAATTCCACACTTTAAAAAAAGAAAAACCGGGCTGGGGATGTAGCTCAGTGGCACAAGAGCCTGCCTGGCAAGCGCAAGGTCCTGAGTTTGATCCCCAGTACCACAAAAACAAAAAACAAACAATAAAAAAAGAAAAACCATGTGGACACTGAATTGTAAGTATGTATACTTTCAAATATCAAAGATAAAATAATAAAGATACTCTGAAAAACCTATAGATTATAATTTCATTAGCTGAGGCACAGAAGTAAACCTACAATCTTATAAAACAAAAACCAAAATACAGATGACCACTGATTCTTCTGTCAACAAAGTTAGTGAAAAGGAAAATTGGCAAATTTAGTTCCAGTTTTGTTTTCTTTTGCTTTATTTCTTTCCTTTTGCTGAATGACAATGTGATCATCTACAGTAACGAATTTTCTTGAAGGCCTAGTGAATCCAGGGTGGAGTAGAGGGGCTGACATCGCACACCGGAAACAATATGAAGAAGAGCTGCCGCCAGGGGAAGCAAACTCACGGCCACCCACTTCAGGGTACGTGTGGGATTCCTTCCAGAGTGCAGCTAACAATGATCAGGTAACAACTGTTCATTGTATGAGCTTGTTCCCAAAGCCTCTGTGCAAAGGAGAATCTTTTTTTTTTTTTGTAATTGGTGCCTACATTTCAGTTCTTTCAATTCTTTGTCAAGTAAAAGAGAAGATTTATTTTATGCATCTAAAAAAAACCTAATTGCTCTAAATGTCTGAACCACTTATTGTGGGATGCAGTTAAATGTCCATCAATAAGTAGCAAATAAGTTATGTCACATTCACACAGTGAAATACTATGTAGTCATGAAAAGGGTAGTACAGATGTATATGTAATAAGATGGGACACTTCAAAGAGATGTATGTTTATGGATGATTTCCTCAGGATTCCATTTTTACAAGCTAAATACATTCACATATTTTAAAAGTGGTCTGGAAGTAGACACAGCAGTCTATCAAGAGTAGTTACTCTGGGAGCACAATGGCATTTCCTTTGATATTTAAAAATTTGTTGACTAAACTTTTAAACACAAGACGGCATTATTAGAATATTATTCTCTAAATTCTAGGGACAGAGATCACATTCATTTTGGTGCCACTTTATCCCAATGTTTATTTCAGTGCTTGGCCCAGTGACGTTCCTAAGGAGTATTTCTTGAATGGGATATGGTAACTTTTCACAAATATTTCAAAAATAAGCATAAACTGTTTGAATTCTTTGAACAAGGCACACATTGCAGTTATGACAAAGATCTTTTTGTAAAAAGTTTAAGAATTTAACAATGTGAATATCTACTGGTTTGTCATCTATCCTTGAGGTTCAAAGACTTTTCAGTAATATTCATCAACTTTTCTGAATTATAGAACATAACCACTAAACTTTTCATCAACCATTTCTATTTCAAAAACATACACGCAATCATCAACCTGAAACCTTCTGTTCAAATTCAAACCAAAAAAGAGTAAGACCAGGACATGTGAACAAACAAAATAAGCCAGCAAGGTTCTGGGCAGTTTATCCAGCTTTCTGCCTTCCCTCCAGGCTTCTATCTAACCAGATAAAGTTTACATTCAAAAGGCATACTTAGTGTCAAGCAGAAAATCTCATTCATTGGTTTATTTTCAGACTTTATTTTTACAAACTATCCTATTTGTAATAATGGAATAACTTGGGTTTTACTAATTTAGGCACTGTAAGTACCAAAAGCAGCTCAAGTGTTTCTTGGTCTCACAAAGGCCAATTATAATGGGTTAATCTTATTCTCTGTGAATCACTTGCTGATTCATACATAAATTTTAATACTATAGATGATTTATAAACTATTGAGCTAGATTTATTAGTGCTTTATGTGAAAATAAGACTAATGTCTGTGACTATACGGGAGCTGAATGAGGCTAAGATTTGGAAACATTTTTCAGAAATATAAAAAAAGAAAGTAAGGCATGTCCATGACTATACTCACAGCACAGCAATCAACTAAATAAGTGCTCCAGTGTGAGCCAACCATTAGAGTGAAGGTTAATTGCCTGGGCATGAACTAGAGCCCTAAGGCAAGTTAGTACCTGGAGTTAAATTCAACATTCAGATGCCACGAGATACACAAAACACAGAGCCAACTTTCTGATAAGCAATCTAAACCTGCTGTCAAAATTGCTGGAGAATTTATTTAGCAATATAATTACTGTTCCACAAAAGAAATGTCAAGATTTAAAAGAAATCAGGACAGAAATGTGGGACCAAAACAAGATCAAAAGAAAGTAAGAACCTGCCTCTGTCTGTCTCCTTAGCTTTTGCCACTTTGTGAACAGAATACATGCATAGAAAAGTTCACTGGACATTTGCATACATCCTGGTGAAAGCAAACAAAAGTAGGTAAGAACCCACCACCTGGGTCAGCCCCCTACTACAGTTGTCCTTCTTCAAATTTTGATGCTTTATCTAGAATTTTATACTAATTTGGATATTTTACATGTTTTTGCATTAACATAACATTTATTTATTTTTTAGAATTTCCTATTAAGTTTTATGACTGTCCTCCCACAGTAAATCCTCAACAACCTTCTCTCTTTCTGGAGGGACCCATAATCATAATTTTTAGAATTCCTTTCTTGTTTTGATTTTTTGGGAAGGGTACCGGGAATTGAACTCAGGACCTTGCACTTGCCAGGCAGGTGCTGTGCCACTGAGCTAGATCCCCAGCCGTTTTAATTTTTAAATTATTATTTATGTATGTACTGGGACTGAGATTGACCACGGGGCTCACTCATGCCCAGCGTATGCAGCACCACTGAGCTACACCCCGGCCCACATCTGCTTCTAAAAATAACTGGTAACTATGCTGCTATCACTAATAGGAATTAGTTTTGCAAGCTGTCACCCTTCTCACATGTTATTTTTTATGCTTTTGTCTACACTGTCGTATTAGCTGTATTCTGTTCATTTTATTGCTGTACAGTGCTCTATTTTTTCAATACAATGTTATGTATTCTATTACGTATTTGGATGTTAGGGTTATATGTATTGGGCTATTATGAATAATATTTCATGAACACATACCTAACTCATGGAAAATAAAATCACAATTTTTGGAGTATATAACTAGAAGCGAAAATGCTGGTCATGGAGTGTGGACATTTTGAACGTTACTAGATCCTATGTCCATTTTTAATGAAATAAAATGAGTATTATAAAATGTTCATTTAAAAGAAATTAGGAGTTAGCACCCTACAGACTCAGAGCTATCAATAACCTCCTACTCCGAAAGATAAAATTTTATACTCAACAGAAACCAAAGTAATGAGCTTTAAATGGGATACGTTTATAGGACCATCATTTAGGCCTCCTTTTTGGGTTAATTCATATCCTGCTCGTTCCAAAGGCAATGGGAGTTTTCCATGTGAAAGGACTGCCGAACCAGGGCCGGGGAAGGCACCAAGTGCACCACTGCTGCCTGCACAACTCAGCCGGCCTGAAAGGTATTTCCAATGAACACGCAGGGTTCTGCAATTAGTTCACTGAAATGGAACAAAACCACAGACTTAGCAGACAGGCAGTGCACTCAGTCCTTGCGTAGTTCTTTGGCTCTTGTGGGGTCCGATGTGCCACTATTCTGGCCTATGGGTGCATGGGCGGCCAAGGCTTCATGTTATACCTTTTCATGCCCGCTGTGGCAAGTGAAATATTTAGTACTTATGTGCTTAAAATTCCTTGGCAAATTTATTGAGTTTAAAGCTTTACATTGGTAGTTAAAACTCACCTTTAACCTACGAGATTAGAAGCAGAAAAATTTTCATAAATGAGAATGTGCAATTTATCAACAAGGGTGTGTTTTACCCTCAAAAATATAAATTTGTCACGATCTGGGATAAGCCAATTTCAGTATGTTTTTAAAGCTATCCCAAATTTTTAAACTGCCTGGCACTTCAACGTAGGCCCTACAAATAATTTAAAACGACTCAAAGCGGAGCCCCGCAGTGATTCCTTCACCCCTGAAAGCACCTGGCATTCTGCCTGTGTGTGTGTCTGCCCAGGTAGGGCAGCCGATCTGGAGAGAAGATGATCGTCGCTCCCTGCTCTGCACAAACACTTGGAGGAAAATGAGCTTAACCAGCCGAGTATGGCAAATGCTGATGGGCCTGAGAGGGTGCTTTGCTTTTGTTTTTCTTCTATCTCTGCAAAATTTCCATTCCGGTGTAGATTTAATTTCTGTCGAGCTCAATGTTTTGTTCAACACGTTTCTTAGCTCTTCTTTAAATAGTTTCTAAAATGACTAGAGCAGGAATTCCCAAAGTGAAACGCCTAGCTAGTCAGCAGAATAATGAGGACCTTTTTCGTCTTCAGTACTGCAGTACTTCTACGGGGATGAGCAGAAGGAAGGAGAGTAGTTAGGGAGATGACGGCCTCTGGAAGCAACGCTGATGCGGCTGCTCAGAGCTTTGCCCTGTCCCCTTTCAGGTCATGAAGCGGGCAGAGAGGGGAATTCACCTGTGAAAATTCCCTGGGACCCTCATTTAGTGTCTGCCCTGAAGGGAAGGAAAGCTCTGCTCTCCTCTCTGATGCTCCTCTGCATCACCGGTCAGGAGGACCCGGACAACTGGCCAGACATTATGAAGTGTTGTTTCTGTATTAGGTCTCATCTACGGTTTCCAGGTTTTTCTCACTGTTTTATTAAAGCTATGAACTCTCCCTAAAGTCTAATGGTTACTGCGGTCCCCGGAGGAGCTATGACTGAAAAACTCACAGGCTACCATCACTAAAAGTCCTCTTTTTCTGGAATAGGAATGAATTTCCAAATGAACCTTCTCTGCTGTGCTATCAGAATTTCTTAAAATAAGAGTCCAGAGCATTTTCTATATATAGTCATACAGTAAGAACCAGTCATGTCCTGCACCCAGCCTACGTTGTGAAAAAGACCTGGTAATTTTTTAAGTATGTGTAAGACTCTGGATTCTCTCAGTTTAAACTTTAAAAATGACTCTGACATAAAAGAGTAACTTCTGGCACCTTTCCTGTGTAGATTTAAACGGTAGAAAAAAATTTCCCCTTAAGTATTAGTTTGACAATGTTGAATATAAACCCACTGTCACCCATCTGGTAAAGAAAACTTACTCTTTTCAGTTTGGCAGCAGCCTCTCCAGAACGGATTGCAGTCAGCAAACTCTGTCGGATCTGTTCTGGGTCAGAGCTTTGGAATGTTAAGGAACTTTGTCTCTTAAGGGTGAATGATGGGCGGTCAGTTGGAGTTGGCATTTGAGAATTCTGTTCATTATGTGCAGAGTTATTTTGCTACAAAAATAAATGGGAAATATTTATATGAATTCCACGAGAAGAATGGGCCATTTTTTTGCAAAACATTTTCAGCGTCAATAGTTCTTTAAGAATCAGCATTTGCCACACTGCTGAGTTAGACACAGCTCTGTTTCCTCACTCACTGAACTATCCGTGCTGCCAGCGCTGCGCTAGAAGACGAAGGCGCTACCTTCCTTCTTCTTGAACTTAGGAGGCTAACAAGCAAAGGCGAGAACACAATCGTCATTGTACTGTGCTTGGGTCCAATGATGTTGACTTTGCCAATCCATGGAGTTGGCTAGAAGAGCCAAATTAAGAATCAAAAAATTCCACAAACGGAAAAGTAACCCGTTTTCCTGGTTCCGCACAATCTACTGGGAAACAACCATATCTGAGTGTACAAAATAGTCAAGTACTGACAATTTCATATACCTTGTACCCAGTATGTCCCCGAATAAAGGAGGGTTAACTACTTTGCTACACTTAGTGTCTTATGTTGGGTTTCTGGAAGTTATAGGGACTAAGCACTGACCATGTTTTATTTTCCCCACAAGGCTAAAATTAATATTAGGAACTTCCAAACTGAAGAATCAAAAACTTAAAAGTTTATAAGAGGAAGAATTAGTAACTGATTTAACTAGCAGATGTTACATCAAGTAATCCAAAAAGTTTCTTTCTCAAACTGCCAAGTACAGATCTTTATAAAAAAGAAGCTACACAGCGCTCAGGCAATGACTCAAAACTGTATTACCTAAATCAAAGTTCCATTGCTTAGGAATGATATTGCACTTCAAGAAAAAAAAATGCAGACTTTATTCCCAAGTCAAGAATTAACCTGCGTATCATACATCACTCCCTGATACTATACCAACATGATAAACATAAATGTAAAATATATGAAGCGATTCTTCAAGACAAATATTTCTTTAAAATTATAAAATATTTACTTGGCAGTGTAGTGAATGTTCTTTTACACTAGCAATGTTTGAAAAAGTAGTACAAAATACTTCTGGAAGTGCCACACAATGTGAAAGTGTTCTTTAAACACTACGAGAGTAAAAATACACAAAGTATTTCTTAAAAATTGCATGTGATTATCATGATTCATGTCATCAATTTCATCCTCTTCTTTGACTATGTTATCTGATCCTGGCAAAATACAATACTGAGCTCACACATTATCAAATCACTAACACATAAATTACTAAGGTTAGGTACTAGATGATGATCTGGTAAAAGGACAAGTGACTGGAAAAGGTGATATGAAATTAACAAATGGGAAATTAAAAATGACTTTTAAAATTACTTGCAATTTAAGCTAGTTATATGTAACTACTGCTGAGCTGGGGCTGAATGTATGTGGGGGAAAATGCAGAGGGATGTTTGGAAACTTTAGTCTTTCATACTGCTGTGTTTCACAGAATGAAAGCATTCTGCTTATATTATGTAGCACTATAAGATTGGAGGAGAAATTAAAGTAAATCGGAACATCCAAAAAAAGTTAAAAACAAATTAGCAAACCCCAGGAAAACAGTTACAACACTAAACTTGAAAACTATACAAATGAATGCAGAAACTTTAAAACACTTGATAACTATATAGTAATATACAGATGTCTTTACAGTAATAATTAATCAAGCGATCTGAATTACAATTCTGGAGAGATTCTATGTGTTACTGATCCTGTCCCTATAATAGCTTGATGTCCTATTCATATGAAGTCCGAGTTATGAACACACAAACCTACCAACATGCCTGCTATCTGTTACTTTAACCAGGTTGCCTAAGAATCTGAGTGCTCTTTTTAAAAAGGTAAACTTACATTCTCTGTCACAAGCAGCTGTGGGATGTCAGGAAACTTATTTACAGAGCATGTCTTCCCGTCTTCTGCACTGGCCAGAGGCTGGGCAGGTTCTGCCTCACTGGAGGGCTCCGTGCGCGCCTTACTGAAGGACTGCGACCTTTTCACTACAGCAAGGGCAAACGGTGAAGGAGAGGAACTACAGAATGGCCGGGGGGCACCAAAAGTTTTCAAAGTCTTCAGATTTACTGCCGCTGGCTGAGGAGTGGGAAGAGGCACAGGCTTAGGCGCTATAGGAGGAGGAGCAGGCTTCTGGGTGAGGATGGCATCGTCAGTGTTTTTAATGTGGGTCAGTGGTGTACAATGACTTGTTTCACTCAAGGGAGAAAGAGTCTGCTCGGGAGAAGGCAGTGTGTCCCTTTCCAGGTCTTTACCTGGGAGTTCTTTGGGGGCAGGGGCAGGGGCAGTGTGTGTGCTCTTGGCAGCTGCAGACGTGACGTAGTGGCCTGATGCTCGCTTCTGCATCTGCAAGAAAAAGGAATTTGGTTTGGCCTGGGGATTTGAAACCCGAGACTTTATTTTTGACTCCAAAATATTGTTTATGTCTTCCAAAGTTGGTGCGAAAGGAGCTGTGCCAGTGTCGCCGGTCATTCTGGGAGGTTTCGGAGGCTTAGTCATGGCCCCACTGGGAAAGCTCAAGGCCCTGTGCAACTGCTGCTCTGTTCTCAAGCTGGGCTTGGGGGTGAGGTCTTGCTCAGGCTCCGCTGGGCCTTCCAAAGTAGCAGTGTTTTCTGTTTGCATGGAAGTTTCCTTCACATTCTCATAAGCGTGCTTTTTTCCTAAACTATGTAACTTTTGGTCATCTTTCAACACTACAGTTTCTGACTCCCAGTCTTTCAGTATTTCCAGGGATTTGAGAGGCACTATTTTGTAAGTTGTCATTCCAATTTTGGGTATATACTCTCTTGTAATTTCGTTAGAAGGCTTTGGTTTGGCATTGTAGTCCTGTCTATAAAGTGGAGAGTTCTGTAGGTAAGAAACAGTTGAATTTTTATCAGTTCCATCCACAGGAGACGAAAGATCATCATCACCATAGGCACACACTGGATCTTTCCGGGCAAGTCTATCTTCTGAATGTACAGTTAGGGTGCCCTGACTTCTCAACTTGCTCGAGGTATCTACAGAACCGAGTAGGCTTAAGGATGAGTGTTGAGTTGATTTGTTATTTGACATTTGTACACGTTCATCAACTTTGAGGTCGGACAAATTATGATCTTGGTGATTCCCGTCAAAGCTGTTACAGGAAGGGGTGGTCTGAATCGCGGCATCTTGCGTTTTTGTCTTTTCTGCTCTGTGCTGACTCAGTTTTTGATCTGGCAATGATGCTACCGCTTGATGGTTTTCCTTGGAACTTAGAAAACTCTCAGTGTCACGCGCGCGCCACTTTGACGGCTTGTCAACTTCTGTGTTTACTTCCTTACTTTTGGCTTCATCTTCTACACAGATTTCTGTTCCCCTCATGCTGTTTTTCTTATCTTCTGTTTTTGTTGCAAGGACACTGCTTTCATTTTGAACTATTAAGAGAAAAAATGTTGTTAGTATATTTTAAAAAGTATAAAAATTCAGGTTTTCAATGTCTATCTTACCCCACCCACAATGAGCTGGAGTGTCACAGATAAATTTTAGCTCCTTCATTATAAAAATGCAGGTAGCAGCTCACAGAGAAAATAGCGCACCCACAAACACTTCAGTTTGGAGCCCATTTAACTAGTGGCCAACATATTAACTAATAACCTCTGGGAGCCTCTTTTTTCTCAGATATAAAAAAATAAAACGGTAAAAGTTTATATTATCTACATATAAATAATTTATGTAACAATCTTCTTAGGATAGGGCATTACCTGGAACAAGCACTCCACAGAAATTTACTATCTTCCTCTGTACTGTAAAAACTTCCTATTTCTTTCATTTTTCTCTCCCCGCCCCTCCTTTTGTCCCTGCCCCTCAATACACGGTTTGCCTGTGTATTCCAGGCTGGCCTTGGACCCACTGTGCAGGTCCTTTTAGGATTTTCTTGCAGTCACAACATGGGTGATTTCATCTACACAAAAACAATCGTACTGGTTTTGACTTTTCTGTATCAGCAAAAGGTATCCTTATTCTAGTGTTATAGCCCAAGAAGGAAAACAGTCTCCCTTTTCCCTGCCTGACTTTTCTTCTTGATTCTAGTTCAGATCTCCTGAAAATGAAAATCACTTGCCAGTGTCGTGGTTAACAAAGCAGTAGCTTCTACTCAACAAGAAGATGGCAAAGACCTCATGTGGGGTCCTGGAAACATGCGTCAGCAATGTGCACTGTGCGTCTAGTGTCTCATACCTAGCGTTCAAGTGATTTCTGTATTGTTCCCCCAGTGAAGCTCCTGTGCAACTACTTCTCACCTTCAAAATCTTAGTGGTCTCCCTTTCTGGATCTGCTAATAGTATGCAGTGTACAAGTAAATTGTCTAATACGAATATTTGGTAATGACAGTTAATATTCTTTGTTTGCACAATTCCCATATTCAATATATAATTTGAAATGCAATTTATCTTTAGTCTTTCCAAATGAAATGCAACTGTTATCAGATCATGTGTCATCTCTTTGAGTGACTTCTCTCTGCAATGAGCAGTAACTATGAACTTTTGTGATTTAAAACTTAAAATTGGGAAATAGGCAAGAGGCAGATTGCTGCTTCTGCTCCTCCTAACTTACTTGGTTCTTAAGTGTTTAATATTTATATGAAAAGCACTACTTTGAACACTATTATAAGCACAGAAGAATTTAACAAATGGTTTCTGGCAGTGGGAAATGAGCCTAAATGTACTTCTTCCTCTCATTTATTTTTCATTTTCCACTGAATGTAAGTATTTCCAAGCTCACACAATGGAAACAATTTCCAAGAAAAAGTAAATCAATGTATTTTAAATTAAATCCCCTATAACAAACACTAATTAATTTGTTTTGGGACTTCGAATTTCTGTTTTTCACATTTTCACTGGGTCACACTTACTTAGTTATTGTCTAACTCTGAATTTCTCAACAACATTTCACAATGGGTCCCACCAATTATCAGGCCAGAACCTAAAACGATCCCTGAACTTATGAGCGACCATCCTCACTCATATCTGACAATGCTGTTCGCTGAGTTTCCCCGCATGACTGGGCCGTTTTCCAAGGATGGAAAAAGCAACCTTTTATACTGTTCCTGCCCTTTCCCTACTCAAAGCCAATAGTGACATCCACAAATGGTTTTAAAAAATGCATCTGGGAGGTGAAAAGGAAAACAGAAAACTGCTTGAATGATAACAGAAGTTACTTCTTTTCATATCACCTAAAAGTTGACCGGCCATTAAGAAGCATACGCAAATCAAACACTATGTAAATGTACATGTAGCACTAACTTGATGTCAAAATTTATTGAGAATTATTTAATTTGGCTATTATTTAAAAAGAAAGCAGCAGCTTTTAAATGACTGCTAGAGAGGAATGCTATGCTACAGTCATTACATCTCCTTCTTAGTGTATTGCAGAGTGGTACTAAACATGGAAAAAAATAACTTAAAGGCATCCACAGATGGCACACGCATATATGACATGAACTATCCCGCTGTATTAGACCCATTTTCTAGGAATTTTAACTGTATATATTGACATATATTAGACTATGAACATTCATAAGCCACTGCCTCCATACTCACTTGAAACATATCACTGTGCATTCCTTGAATTTCCTACTGCAAAGTGGTATTTTTTCATTGAAATTTAATCCCAAGTATATATTTTAAGTATATATTTTAAGGGTATCTCAGTAGGCTGTTGGGTCCTACTGAGATTTCATACAAAGTATCCGTTTAATTTCTCTGATCTAAAATTGCTTAACTCAGTTGAAGACTCAGGAATATAGAATTACATGGTTTCTAGCAAACAAATAACAAAATAAATGAAGTGATAGGATTTGAATAGGAATGGGTGATATACTGTAGATTAAAGTTAATTTTTTTATGCAAAGACATCATGACCATAGGGCAAATTATAGCATTAAGTGAACTGTGTCATGAGAAAAATAAGAATCTCTTGATTTGGGGCTGAGAACTTGGAAACAGTGATTAATAATATTACATAGTTAGAACATTTGGTCCCTGAATATTAGGTAGACAAATTTCATCCAAAATGTAGCAACTTGGTAAAGTAAAATTGGCTTGCAATCAGGAGTCAGAAGAAAGAAGAAAAAGTCACAAATGCATGCAGGATACAATTTTAAGATCCAAAATTTAAGTTAGAGAGCCTCTAGGAATTAATAACATCAATGTACTCATGATAATTTAGAGCATACTTCGCAATAATATTGCCTGGATTCGCATCCTAGGACCACCATTTACTACTCATAAGATTTAGTATCTTTGTGGCTCAAGCATCTGTACAATGGGACTAAAAATAACAGCACCTATAAATGAGTCAATATACAGGACTAAATGAGCCTATATGTTTTAATAACAGTCTTTGGCACATGACAGCTTACGACAGTGTTGGCTACTGCTATTTATATAACTCACCTTTCTTTTGATTTGGGCCCAGTGAATGCAAGTTCTTGACACCATCAGCTAACATATCTTCACTGCTTATATCATGCACAACACTGTGTGACCCTCTGGAAGATGTGATACTGTATGTTATATACTATTCAAACAAATAAGAAAAGAAGCAGTAATCTCCAAAGACAGATGGACTGAAATAATCATCTTTATCTGCCAAATACTGGAAATGTAATAGCAAAGAAAAAAATACAACTGAGAGGAAATGCTATTATCAAACGTTAGGTTTCATATGATGGTCCTATTCCAAAAAAAAAAAAAAAAGAAGCTTAGCAAAATAGATACTTCCCAAGCAGTGCCATTATCTTTTAAAGAAAAAGGACGTTAAATGAAACATTTTAGGCTTGTATCTGGCCAAATCAACTATATAAATCAGGATGTGGATTGACCTCATCATTTGTTTGTCTTTTTTTTTCCTGGTGACAGGACAGTTTAATTTGGAGACAATTCCATGCAAATTCTGATAAACCTCTGACAGATATTTATTTATTTTTCTTGGTTTATTTCATCTTTTCTCATGGTGTTGCATTTCAAACATCATAAAAGTGGTCTAGACTATAGCTTTCAGTCCTTAGGGTCAAATGCAAAGTGCATTCTTTGCACAATAAGGGTGACTATCAGAATAATACTGGTGATTTATCCTCGTGCTCTAATATAAACTGTTTTCATATGTTTTCATAAACAGTTTCATATGTTTTCTAATATGAAACTGTTTTCATATCCCAATCAGGGAAAATCCTTCAGGAGAATTTGGTAAAAACTGAAAACTGAACGTTTCATTTAAGTCAAACAGGCAAAATACACAAGCAAACAACTTTAATTTTTGAGTTAGACAAGTTATGGGTAATCTGACATGGGGATATTCGAACGGTTACTTTTTATTTTCTTTGAATACAACTGTATGCAAATAGGCACTTTACTAATAAACACATAATATAGTGGGAGTAAGAAGGTAGAATCTAAACAAAAGAGCCAACTACATTTGTGCTTAAAATGTCATATCTATACTTAACAAGAATGGTATTAACTAAAAACTCTGCCAACACTCCTGGCAGATAGACGACTTACTGTCCATCTGTGCTTCTAGCTTCTTGTTTCTTCTCCTTGGAGTTTTGTGAAGCCTCTCCACTGTCAGTGCCAAGGGCTGAGTCAGGGTCCTTCTTCAGTGCACTTATTATATCAGTGGATACGAAAGACATGTCTGGTGACCTCAGAGAAATACTGTCCGCCTCCTTAGGCACCTCACTCAGTTCTTCCTTTTCATCTATCTCTTCAAGGCTATAATCCGAGCTTATTCCAGCTACAAAGAAATGCAGATATGTCCTCAATGTTAATTTACTTTATTCAACCTGTACAATCCTACAAGGAATTTTTAACTGAACTCTTTTCAAAGCTGGTTCAAAATTAATAGGGGAATACTTTTCCAACAGTGAATACTCATGGTAATATATAACCAGATTATCTCAGACTCATACAACTCTAAAAACAATTTGCATCATTCTAACTTTTACTCCTGGAAGTTTAGTTAATCCCACATACTTCAAGTTAATTATTTCATTTAGAAATGTATATTCAGGGCTGGGGATTTAGCTCAGTGGCACAATGCCTGCCTGGCAAGTACAAGGTTGTGAGTTCAATTCTTGGTACCGGAAGAAAAAAAAAATACCAAAGAAATGTACACTCAGTTACATGATTTTATACTTATATGATAACCCAGTAATACAAATTACATGCAAATTAATCATTTTTAAAATGCAAACTAAAGGCACATGAGATTTTTGTATTATCAACAAGTACACGTCCAGTTTGATTCAGCAGTTATCAGTATTGACAATATCTGGGAATTACCCAAGCCTCTTTTGAAAATACTGAGGTTGATACCCTATTTCATAGCTATTAAATCAAAATCTCTAAAGGGTGGGTCAAGAAATTTTAAGGTTCCAAAGGTTATTCTAATATAAAACCAAGGTTAAGAGTCACGGATATAAGTGCTTTAAAATAATTTAAACACACAAAAGAACAAGTATTAAACAACAGGAATTAATTTTCATTCCTAGTTTGATTCTCAGGGGCAACTTCCTTTAACAATTATTTCCTGTTCGTTATTAGAAAGCAATAATAAGCATTCATAAGCAGATATCCATACTCGTCCCATTTTCTGTTAATTTAATATAAACAGGAGCATACTATACCCAATGTTGTCTACCTAGTTTTTCTCTTTCGTTTTATTTTTCTTAAATATTATCCCATTATATGTATATAATTCTTCTTAGTACTTATTGTAAAGATAATCTGTAAAATTTCACACAAACACTGAAGGTCTAGATCTTTGCTCAAATAAAGTTGAACATTTCCATTTGCACAACAGCATTTTGATGAAGTTCAATTTTACCTCAAGGTGTGTATGTATAAGATGACTAGGCATTACATGTCATTATAGTGATCAGTACATCTAGAAAATTTGAAACACATGTAAAATACTGAAAGGGTATTTCCTTAATTTTATCTCTAGGTATACAGGCAGCAAAGTGTATTATTTATGCTTTTCATGAAATAAATATGGAACTGGGCATCACAGTGTCTGCCTACAGTACTAGTACCCAGCTACTCAGGAGGCTAAGACACGAAGACCACTTGACCTCATACCTGAGGCCAGCCTGGGCAACATAATAGGACAGAGATAGAAAGAAAGGAGAGACAAGGAGGGAGGGAAGGGTTATTTTAAAGACATTTTATTGTTAAAAATTCTCAGGAAAAATATTGAGGAATTTAAGTGAATTTTCAAATATACATATTTTGGCAAATGTTTTATCATGGTATGTGAAATACTGTGATGTCATCATGTAGTTTTACGTGCTGTGATGTAACCTACTGTACCTACGTAGCCAGCGTTAGTTCCACAACGTGACACTGTGTATTAAGTAACAAAAATGAAAGGCGCCATGGTTTAGATGTAAATGTGTTTTATAAATGATTATTCAGAATATATTGAGCTTTTCTGACATTATATTAACTGAGATAACGTTTAGCGAATTATTGGTCATTATGCTTATTCTACCATGTCTATCACAAGTATTTCAGAGATATGCAGTTTTTCTTTAAGTGCACATCCCTTACTGAGAAACTGGTCTCAATTCAAGTATCAAAAATCTTTTCAAATTATTTTTACAGATTGTATAACTTGGTAACTACAAGAATCACATCAGAGTTCTTACATACACATACACACACACACACATATATATATATAAAATCTGAAAAGCATTATTGTTATAAAAAAATCTTAGAAATGCAATGATTTTTTTAAAAAGAGAATTCATTTTGTTGTTTGACTAGCATAGATTTTTCCCAGACTTTGAGAGGAAAAAAATGAACTTTGCTTTGTACCTGTTGACCAAAAAATATTTGTGCATTGTTTCTCATTTTTGGCAACTGTAATATAAACTCTCGGACAAGTCTTTGTGGGTAAACAAGTTTTTACTTTTCTTGGGAAAATACCTACAGGCAGTGCTGCTGGGTCATATAGAAAATGACTATTTAAATTTCACTCAAAAACCTCTGTCAAGGGCTATGAATATAACACACCAATAGAACACATGCCTGGCATGCAGGACAGCCTGGGTTTAATCTCAGTCACAAACCCATCCAAAAATAAACAAACAAAAATAACAACAACTAAAATCCCTGCCAAACTACTTTTCAAACCAGCCACACAATTCTGGATTCCCATAAGCAGTGACAGCATACTAAATGTAAGCTGCCGGTGGGAAGTGACATAGGCTTTTTCTGAGTCACTGAAAAATTGGGAACAATTATGATAAAATTCAAGTACTACACTCAGTTTTCCTAGGATGTAAACAAAATAATTCCAAATTTTTGAGAAAGCAACTGAGAATAATATCATAGACAACAGCCACAACAGATAAACAAAGGAGTATTTCACTAAAGAATGTATGTAAATATCTTTAACAAATATATATATTTATATATAAATATTTATATACATTCATATATATTTGTATATATATATATGAATAGCTGGGATAACTGTATTGCTGATGTCTGATGGTATATTGAAAGGAACAGTTAATGCTTCAAATTTTTTATGTTCTGACCGATTCTGCATGCTTATATCTGGTAATCTGAGCAACTGATTTGAAGGAACTACCATGAGCAATGGAACTAAGCAATGGAACTACCATGGTGAATTCCTACCATATTGTCTAGTGAAACTCTGTATTACCTCTAACGTTTCATCTAATAATTATTTTCTTTGTCTCTTTAATGGTTTGAACAATCTCCCCTTCTTAAATCTGGTAATCTGAGCAATGCAGTTGAAGATAACAATATGCAATAAAACAACCACTGTTAATTCCTATCATTTTGTCCTGAAACCCTGTATCACTTTTAATGTTCTTGCTTTGGTTTGCTTATGGTGCTGGTATGCTGCTATTATTCTATTTTTTTTTCATTTACTACTCTCTTTAAAATAAATATATATATATACATATATTTTAATATAATGTAGTAAATATACTATTTAATATTATTAAGTATATTTAAATTTTTATATTATATTACATTATATCATATTATAAAGTTAAAACAGTTCCATCAAAAAGTAGAAAGTCAAATAGAAAAGAAGGGGAAATCATTTAGAACCACTGATTTCATTAATCCTACACTGTCATGTTCAGGCATACAGTTAAGGAAAACAGCATTCCAGATAGATTTGTCAGAGAAAAGAGAAACACTTATTTCTTTGGGAAACATTTTTACAGATTTTACAGGTTTAACCAGTAACCAGCTCTGTACTTGGTGATGTCTTAATCTGCGTAAAACAAAGCACCAGCCGAAAGGCCTGAGCACCTACATGTCCAGGATGCTACAGCCGCCTCGGGGGTTCCAGGACCCTCGGAGAGAGAGGTTTCGTCAGGCAGTTTGGGCGTAGTACACTGTTCTTGATGAAGGAGCCCAGGGCCAAGGCAGCCTTCTGCCAAAGAAGTAGAATCTGCAGAAATATCACTTAGACAGAAAAGTTAAGGCAAGCAAACCGAGAAGCATTTCAGAAGAAATCAGAGTTGTTAGCTCATAATCATCCATGTATTAAACAGGAAGAGCAAAACAGGAATGAAGGGAGAGAAACAGATACCGAAGTTTGAAGAGCATGCACATTTTAAAATATTTCAAAATCTAATAATTTCATTGCATATTTTAAGTGAACAGTACTCAGTGTATTTCTTTTAAAGAATAAGATAGTATCACTGATACTAGTTTGAGAAAAACCATTACTTGTTATATAATAGTAATATTTTAAATCACAAAATAGTGAAAAATTCTTAGTTAAAATTTCAAACTCCTAAGCATCACATAAAAATTCACAATTACAGTTTAGATGCTCTCGTATCTTTCCAAATTTATAAATAAATGACAAAAATGAGGCAGTTACATGAAGCAGTTTTTATACTTATCAAGTTATTCCCACACTAAAGTAGTGATTTTTTTTTTTTTTGGTACCGGGAATCGAACTCAGGACCTTACACTTGCCAGGCAGGTGCTTATGCCACTGAGCTATATCCCCAGCCCTTTTTATTTTTTTTTTAAAGCACAGTGATATTCTGTTATGATATGACATTATTGGTCTATCATATTCATCTATCTCTAACACTAACTCTATAAGAAAATTTTCATCATATGTATAAGACCTACTAAGTACCCATCATTGAAAACATGGGAAATAGTATTAATTATTCAATTTTTAGTAGAACTTCATTTATTTGGGGAAAATCTACAAGAGTTAAATAATAAAAAGTATTTTTATAGTAACAGATTTCTAGTCATTAGAGCAGGACACCTAATATGTTGAGTTCATACTTGGGACAGTAGCCTAATTAGATTGTGCTTACTTTTTTTTTTTCTCTTTTTTGAGACAGGGTCTCACTATGCACTTCAGGCTGGCCTTGAGCTTACTATGTAGCCCAGGCTAGTCTCAAACTTGCAATGATCCTCCTGCCTCAGCCTCCCAAGTGCTGGGATTACAGGCGTGCGCCACCATGCCCGGCTGTGCTTACATTTTAATGTAAGTTTTCTTTTAAATACACCAAGGCACCTTTCTAATGATGTCATTACTCTTAGGGGGAAGGAGGTTAATAAATGTCAACCTGACACTGCATAAGGAAAGTAGGAGACCAAACAGGGAAAGTACTCAAAGTACAATTTCTGAAATGAAATCTTCATTCTAATCTCAAATCCTAGGGGGAGAAAAACAAGGAAAATTCATTTCATCAGATAAATATTGGGAAATGAAGCCAAAGAATCTCTTTCATATACAGGGCATTCTAACTGGATTCATTTCTCTATCGTCAAGAAGCTCTTTTTCAATAATGACACAGGGTGGAGGGGCAGCACCGTACCTGGGCTGGGGAGGCCCTCGGGAGAGGTTGCTTCCAAAACGCTGTCTGGGGAAACCCCGTCTACTGCCTGCAGAGCTAAAAGAAGCAGCACAACTTATGCACAGGTCATAGGCACGGCGGAAGCAACTCTTGAAGTTAGCTTAGTTTTTTTCACGTAATTTAGAAAGAAATGAACCTTAACCTGGCTAGAAGCCTTCTGCTATCTATCCAGCTATGAAATGATTACATGTTACTTAGATTCTCATTGTAAGTGTGGTCCATTCTGGAATGGCAGATTCTTTCCAAATAAACTTCCAAATTATAATAAGCTCATTTAAGAATAACGAGCCTGTACAATATTGTCATTTTGCTTTGTCACAAATTTTTAAAAAGTAGTTCAGAATGTGATAAAGGATGATTTAAAAAGCCTAAGTATTAAAACTTAATAAAAAGATACAAGTTATGACATATCATTTCTCCTGTCTCCATTAAATAAAACAATACAAATATCATGTCGTGGGAAAAGTAACATTACCAGTGGCGTGGCCATTTTCATCACTTTGATGCAGGGGTATTTTGGAGGGTGGGGAAGGTGCTTTCCGCTTTGTCCTTTTCAAAGATAAATTCCCTTCAGATGTGGTGGTGAGCGGAAGTGAGCCCGTCCTCACCCTGCCCGCCTCACGGGGACTCTGTAGAGAACAAAACAAGCAACCTATATTTAGAAATTAACTGCAAACCCTAGGAAGACACCTGAACTTTACAACAAACATATCATGTACCAAAATGGAACAGAATAATAATTAATTCAAAAAAATGTAACAAAAATTCATTCAAAAACCATTCTGTTTGTGTTCAGAAGCCATACTGTGGGAGGGACATATAAAGAAAAATAAAATATAGGCATTTCAGGACATCTAGGTGAGGAAGGGAGATGACGTGCAAATAAGGAACTGCTGTGCGCATGGTTAGTGAGAAACACCGTTAAAAGCTAACTTTCAAAGAAAAGTTTGAAGACATTATCGGATGTAAAGCACAGGATGATTAGCCTCCCTCTGAAGCCTAGTTTATCAGTGAAAAACACTTCAAAAAACAGTATGTTTACTGAAGGAAAGCGCTTTGATGTCACCAGTCACAAACAGCTAACGTTCCCACTCACAGCAGGTGACCGCCAGCAGACCCTAAGACAAGTCCACCTCAGGAAGCTGGCTGATCCTTGCTGGCCAACTGCCATATTATTATCTGTGCTCTTCACAACAAAACTGCTTGAAAGAATTTGTACCCAGTTTTTATCTGCAACTTCGCTTTTCCCATTGAGTCTCTCCAGTTAAACTTACCCAACCTTTGATCTATTGAAACTTTTTCCAGCAAAGTCACAGTGACCTTGGCCACAAATACACCAGCAGTCATTTCTCAGAACTCACTTCTGTGATCTGTTAGCAGCATGGAAGACAGCAGACCACACTTCTACAATCTTTATCTTGCTTCCAGGATACTGCGCTCCTTCCTGTCCAGTGAGTCACACTCTCTAGCCACTCAACCTCCTTTGTTCGTTACTTTTCATCTCTTGACCAACACTGGTATCACTCAGGGCTCGGTCCTAGGACATATTCTCCCTCATATCTATGCTCACTCTCTTGGTGATCCACTCTATTCTCTTGTTTATAAGTATTATTTACATGCTTATGAACTCATGCCTCCATCCTGGACCTCTGTTCTGATCTCCACTACAGCTCCATAGGCAGTTTCATGTTAGAATGCTGAAAACTGAAATCATGACAATATTATCCCCTAACCCTTTACTATCATCTTTCCAAATGCCCTTATCTCCTCTGTCTCACACTGAGTCTGTCCCGTTGGTTCTGCACTTACTAGACATCACCAATTCAGCTCGATTCCTACAACACCGTCTAAATCATTAAAACCCTCTGATGGCTTCCCACATGGCACGGAAAACTCAGCGTCTTTAGAACTGATGACCCAGCCCTGAAGGCTCTCTGATCTTGTTGAAGACTGGCTGGCTCTCTTGCCATCCCTCCCATGTATCAGGAGAAATCCTATGTAAGGATGGCTACCTTTGCTGTCTCCTGATCCTGGGAATGTTTTTCTGATAACTCAATGTCTTACTCCGTCGTTTTCCTCAGGTTGTTTCTCACATGGCACCTTCTCCATGAGCTCCTCCCTGACTCGCTACTGCTGTTGTCCCCTGCCCAGCTTTAGTTTTACGGTGGCATTTAATACTTTTCTAATATAGCATCTGGTTGGTTTATTTCCTCATTTATTGTCACTCCTCTTAGAAATGACTGAAATGGAAGGGGCTTCCCCCCCCCCGCCCCCCCGCACTCTTCTTTTGCTCATTGTTGTACTTCTAAATCAGTGTCTGGCTCTTGGACGTTTCTCAATAAATGCTCCTTGAGTAGATGAAAGATGAGTTAGATATTGCATTCTTCTTTTCTCATAAATAAGAGACCTTGGTGAGCTCGGACTAGGAATCTGTCTAAAGCTTGGGCCACTCTAATCTTACAACATAAGTACATCTAGGGAAATTAAATAATTCATCAGAAATTTTCATTATGTCTTGCCACACATCAAGAAAAATTTGACAAATTTACTATTTCATAACTTTCTAACTTTTCTGGCAGAAAAAAAGGAAACCTTCCCCAAAAGAAACAACAAAAAAAACCTCTCTGATTTTGTTATCACGACTGCTGCCAACTGTGTGAGATACTAAAGAGGAAAGCGGGTCACCTCATGGGACGGTGGCAGGGGCTTGGCTGCAGAAACCTCCCACTCACCATTCCTCTGACAAGGCAGTATGACACGGTGGTACCAAGTGATCTCCCCAGAAGTCAAGACGCTGAACTTCCTCCACACCCGTTATAAAGGACTAAGCCCACCCTGCTCTACCTATTGGCACCATAAGACTCCAGAACTCTCCACAATCCAGCGAGAGAGCAGCTAAGACTTGCTATCCAAAACCTAGTTTTCAACTAAGAGTCACCAAAGTCTGTTCTGATTAAATATTGTAATTACTCCCTTGGGGAGGATCCTCAATGGACCTTTGAAAAAAATTCAAGAGTCCCCTGAAACAAATAGCTAAGAAAGAAATGCAGAGGAATTAACATAATTCAATGTTAAGTAGAATACAAAAGTAAATATGTGTTCGGAAACTTTCACATCTTTTTTTTTGAGACAGGGTCTCATTATATAGCCCAGGCTGGCCTCGAACTCCTGGTGATCCTCCTGCTTCCACCTCCCACATGCTGGAATTACAGACGTGCACCACCACATCCAGCTTCACCTGTTATCTTATAAAAGTAATAAATTTAGAAATCATTAGAAGGCTTAAAAATTCTAAAAGAGTATCATTTCACTTGTTAAAACATTTATCTAAAAACCAAAATCAGTAGATGTTATTTCTTGTTGAACCTACTTCTACGAAGTCCCATTAAAGCAAAACTCCTGCTGTAGTTTCTTGCTCACGAGCAAGAATGCAGTAGGTAATCAACAGGCAATTGCTGAATGCCCCCAGAAACAGCAACTTTTGATTCTCCCCTCAGTTTCATCCTTATGTTTTGACTGATTGTTTTCATGAGGTGTGTAATAAAAATACTTTCATCTTTAGGTTACATTTTAAACACTGTCACATATGGGTGTTCCCCATTACCTGATAAAAGCAGTTATGATATGAACTTCTCAAGCAACAATATTCTTAAATTTGGGATACGAAAAATAAAGCAGATAGCACAGAAATAAAGAGGGAGGAATGTTTATACAAAGCTTCAGAAATTCATATGGTCCAATCCATACTGTGAAGATAGAATACCCACAGACAGCTATTTATCAGTCTAGAAGTCTTAAAATAAGCTAGCATTTTTTGTACAGGATGTTTCTATGGATAAGGAATTCTAAACTTGTCAAAATAGATTCTGATAGTTTTACAAATGCTAAAAGTTTTTCAGTAACATTTATGAAGACAGTTGAGGGAACGCATGTTGAAAGGGCACAGCCATGGACATCTCGAGAAGCATATGTTTTATAATCTTACTCATTAAGATTCATCGCCTTATGCTGATGTGCAGATGTAAATATATGTACATTTCCAGAGCTGCCATTTTGATCAAAGACACTAAGAAAGAGGACAGTAGCAGAGAACATGACTATTACAAAGAGATAAGAACTAGATTCCATGCTGTGATTAATGGTTAAAACTTATTAAATTTAATATAAATATAACTGCACAAGAGATGGTCCTAAGGCAGGAGTGTAGAATTAATAAGAACTGCGAATTTACATAATCAACAGCAGATTACTGACAAACGTAAGTTTTATTTTGAGATATGAGTGGCATTATTTAAGGGAATAGTTTTCTATTATTGTAAGACAGAGAGGTAAGCAGTTTTCAGAATGAGACTTAGAAACAAACCTCAATCAGCTGAGGTACTGCTGAAGAGTGTCAATGTAATAAAAGTCAAACTTGGGGTTCTTTTCTGTTGTCTCAAATGTCACTATACAAATGACATGAAGGAAGCCCTAGGCCTAGAGGAAGAGATTCTGATCTACTGGGGGAGTCTGCAGCAGAAAAATGTGTGAGGGGGGGTGGACTTCAGTGAGAAGACTTCATTGTTTCTTGGCTAGACTGGAGTCAAGAAAGCTGACGTGCACATGGAATATACACAGTACACACACACCTAACACACTGTTAGAGAGGCGGTCAGTCCAGGAACGGGTAATATTAGAGACCAGACACACTGAGCCATCACAGTCATTAACACAGGAGTTTCCATTTAGAATGTTAATAAACGAAGTCTGGGGAAGTTACTGGTGCCCAAACAGTGCCATTTCCTGGGAACTTGAGGAAAACGACCCTAATAATCTCTCAATAGTCCTACTCTTAAACTGATCACAGTTAAATCCCTCTGCTTTTAGTGTGAATCTGTCTAACTGAGGAAGGCATACAGAGGGCTTGCAGGTCAGCAGGGAGCCCACCAGAACAGTTACCAAATAAATGGGTTTTCGAGTAAACACCTGGGATCCAAGCAGGAAACGTGCCATTTGATGTCTCTGTGACCTATAGCCTTCTCATCAGTGAGAAGGGAAAGTAACTGTACCTGTGTCAAAAAAGCCTGGGACGCTTACCGCGCTTATATGTAAAACAGAACAGGGCCTAGCACACAACACACACGCCATAAACACTAACTGATACCGCCACATGACTTTTATCTATTTTAAAGTATATGAGTGTGTTCTCTAAATAAAGTAAGAAAATACTGTTAGTTTTTGAAGTTAGAATAAAAGTATGGACAGACGGTCGTTTCTCTCTGGCGGTAGTGAGAGTGAGAATCCTATCCTGTAGGGATCAACCGCAATTACAATCAACCTTGAAAGGCCACAGTGCTCATGTTCAAGCACCTGTGCTCCACCCACTGCATGGGCAAAGTACATCCCCAGGGGGCACTTCATCACTCTCTCAAGGAGTCTAATAAAAGTTAAACCTTTAGCACTACTGTGTGAAATCTTGGTGATAAGTATATGGGTGTGCTTTATAGTAAACAAATTCAAAATATTTCAGAGGTAAATTTAATGTGAAGAATTAAGAATAAAGAACTGTTCGTAATAGTCTTTGGCTTTTCCCACCAAGAGACATTTCCTTTCATTAAATTATGACCACATTTTTAAAAATGAATTGAGG